CTTCCACTTAAATTTCTCCTATTAAAATAAATAAAAAAAAATAATTTATTGCATCATCCCACTAACATACTCCATTTCTTATTAATTTATTATTTTTCTTACACCAACTATTACACAAATAATATTAGTTTAATGTAAGGAGACTTCCAAATAAATCCCCAATCCTCTTTAAAACTTCTTTGTCAGTCCCTGTACAAAATTAACTTCCACTGCACTCCCCATCCATTTATTATTCTTCCACTTAACTCCCTCCTCTTAAAATAAATCAAAAATAAATATATACAAATGACATCACCCCACTTAACTTTCACTTTACATATTATTTTATCATTTCTCTCTCTTTCCACTACAATCTTTCACAGTTTTTTAATATTTTTCTCTCTCTTTTCATATACTTTTTTATTATTTATTTTTTATCATCTTTCTATTATTTATCTCTCTTATTACTACTAATTTTTCTTGTTTTTTATTAATTAATATAATTTATTTTGTATAAACTATCCAAATAAAAAAAAATATATTTTACTAATCTTTATTTTATATTAATACAGTGGCGAAACCAGTCGGTCATCCCGGGGAGGGCCCAATTTGCCGCGGCGCACCACCCCCACTCCGGCCATCCCGCGGCGTACCACCCCCACTTTTTGGACGCTCTCAAAAATTTTCGCAGAATATAAAAGGAATACTCTAGAGATTTTTCTATAAATCAAACTAAGTCCAGAATTAAACTGGTATACTTAAACTGAATTGTTTTAACTCGAAAAATACTCGAATGTATACTAATAAAAATCTAGGACTCAATTATAATAATAATCAAGAATTAAACCTCCTTTCGAATAGACGAAAAGCTGAAAAAATTGAGAAAACGAAGCCTCGAACGATCGAACTCGTCCTCGACAAATTTGCTCCTTTTGATACTATTTAACGCAGAAATTCAAACTCCCATAATAAATGCTCGGAACTCCGAAAAATGCGAAATTTGTCCGTATGGAATCGTGCGTGAATTGTCTACAAGCTCCAACTCGATTCTCGTTAAACCGAGGTCACACGCAACCTTACGGAACCCCGCAAAACGGCTTTTTATTCTTCTATTATGCGCACTCAACTTCGAGCTTCTCAAAATAAATGCTCGAAACTTCGAAACGTGAAATAAATTTTACGAACGACTTCTACTGTTCTCGTGCTTCCAAGAAAGCACACCCGCTAATTTTCAGCACGCCTAACGAGGGTCGACGGTAACCCGAAGTCTAGACATGAAAATGATAATAAAATCACCGCCATTGCCATTTTTCTCTCAACTTCGGGCTACCCAAAATAAATGGCCGGGACCTCAAAATCATAAATCGATGTCACCAGCGCACTCTTCGCTTCCCTTACTTTCATAAAAGTATTTTTCAGTAATGATCGACTCGGTTTTTGAGTCCCGTCGGTACACCACAAGTCGGCTAATTAACCAACTCAAAATATAATAAAATAAAAAAAAATATTAAATTCTGCTGCTGTTATAGTTCTCTTTGTCCCGAAAGCAGGATCCCGTTTCAGGGAGGGCCCAATTTGCCTTTAAAAAAATTTTCACGACAAAACCGGTGGTGCTCCTCCGGCCATGTATATACCGCATAAAATCGGGGAGGGCCCAACATGCGCGCTCAAAGGAAAATCTTCCAGTTCCAGCAAAATCCTCCACCCATAATTTAATTTTTTTTTTTTTAAAGGGCCGGCGCCTCTCCGACCCCCTCTTAGTTTCGTCCCTGTATTAACATATATACTAAATCTATAAATCTATATTTTTATTGTTCAAATTTATCACCTAATTCTCTAAAATTGAATTATATATTTTAAATTTTATTAAAAAATATTTATTCAAAGATCTATCTAATTTTTAAGAGGAATATATATTCACTAGTATGATACCCGTGCACTACACGGGTACGTAAATATATTAATATTTGTACAATAGAAAAAACTAAAATAATTTCTTTTTATATTGTAAAATTATGGATAACGATATAAAAAAATAATGAATAACTAAAAAGTAATAATTAATTCAAAATGCAGTCCATATTATTGCACTTAATTTTCTTATTTTATTTAAAATATATGGTAAAACGCATTAAAATGATTGTTTTATGGTGTATTATTGAATTAGTTTTATTTATAATGACATATGTAA